TCACTGAGTTGATTGCGTCAGCGCGGCTTTGCTTCGGCGGCTGTACTGTGACGGGGCTTGTGTATGACCGGATGTTTTTGCGTTCCACTGTGTTTGTTTAATGTTGTTGCTGCTTTTATTTCCTTTTTGACCGTGCAGTTAGAGATACTTTTGATTGACCAGCACAACTATCGTTTCAAGGTGTTAGGAGTTAATTGCAGTATTAGGTTTAGCAGTATTAGTATAACGATCTGGCGGAATCGTGTCACTGGATTCGCCATCTGTAGGAAGGGATTTGCTAGGCAGGAGTTAAGGTCGACGGTGCGAGAGCGACACACCACGACAGCCCTGTTGGTGCCTGTTTGGGTTGGTGGATGTGGTCTTCTGTGGGCGCGTGTCCGCGCAGCCGGCACCGTGTGCGGCGCAGGGTCATTGCGGCTGTGCGTGTGGCGCTGCTCGTTGTGTTGGCGCTGGTTGCGGCGGCGGCGTGGGTGCCCGCGGTGCATGCGGTGGTGCTGCGACTGCGGGGCGGCACGGTGGACAGAGCCATCACGGTTGGCCGCGCCGTGGACACGGTGCTGATGGACGGCGTGTACATCACGAACGGCGTGGCTGTGGTGTTCGACGTGCCGGCGATGCTTCCCGGCTCGCTGCGCATTGAAATGAGGGACTGCGTCTGCGACGGCGGTGCGCAGATCTACGTGCGGGGCTACAGCGGTGAGCCGGCGAGTGACCGGAGCCTGGAGGTGAGCGTGAGCGGGCTGTCCGGCGGCTACTGCTCGCTCGTGTTTGTGGACAACCTTCCGGCACACACGAACGTGACGGTCCGCGACTCGAAGATTGTGACGGCGGGACCGATGCGCTACTCCCAGCTGAGCGGGCTGACGGACGCGGTGGCGTCGCCGCTTGTGCTGTACACGACCTCGCTGTTGCAGTCGCAGCTGCGTGTGAGCAACACTGTGCTGAGGTCGTTGCAGGCGGGCGGTTCGGCGTTGTACGTTGGCGGCGGCATGGACCTGCTGTCGAGCGCGGTGGTGCTTGACGGCGTGTTGCTGGAGGCGTCGGGCGGTACGACCGCGTCCGCGATTCGTGTGGCGTCCTCGTCGCGTCTCAGTCTGCGGAGCCACTCGGTGTTATCCGTGACGAACGTGTCGGTTGTGAGCAGCGGCGGCGGCTTTGTGCTTGGAGAGCGCCTCGCGGTGTTTGATTCAGTGCTGCGCTTCGTGGGGGGTCGAGGGGTCTGTCGCGTCGTCGCTTGTGCGCTGCGACGGTGGGACGGTCGGTGCCGGCGGGTGGCTGGACCTGCACGACGTGTGGGCGGTGGGCGAGGCGTCGTCTGTGGCGTCGCTGTCGGGGGTGACGCTGAGCGGCGGCACCGTGTCGATTGCGCGCTGCGCTGCCATCGGCGCGACGCTTGTCTCCGGGCTGGCGATCACGAGCGGCGTCGTCTCGGTGCAGTGCAACCGTGCCGGCGGCCGGGTGCTGCAGAGCAGTGGGGACTACCGCATGGCCGGCCTGCCCTCCGTGAGCGTGGTGCCGTGCGACGGCTGTGCGGCAGCGCTGGCCTGCTTCGATGCGCTGACGGCGTCGTTCACTGACTGCGTGTGCGGCTGCCGTGCCGGCGGTGTGGGCGAGGCGTGCCTGCCGTTCGACGTGCCGCCTGCGAGGGCCGGCGGCGGTGGTGGCGGCGCGGAGGGCTGCGTGAGTGGCGTGACGCTGACGGAGTCGGTGACGGTTGGCGACGGGCGTGCGACGGCGTGCTTCGACTCGGCGGTGTTCAGCGGGCCGATCACTGTGGCGGTGGACCTGCGCTCGATGGACGTGTTCGCTGACGCGCTGAACGTGACGCTGCGCCACTGCGTGCTTGAGGGCGGCGCACAGCTGCGGATTGGCGGCCTCAGCGAGAGCACGGCACGCCTGATGCCCCACACCCTCGTCAACATGACGAATGTGACGTCGCTGGAGGGCACGATCGTGCTGCATGGCGCGATGCCGCTGCACTCGAGTGTGCTGCTGGCGAACTCAACGCTGCGTGCGACGGTTGGCGGGTCGCAGTACGTGCCGACGACCCCTGGCCATGAGGGATTTCGGTGCGGCCCCGCGCTTGTCCTGGACGGCGTCCGGCTTCTGTCGACGCGGTTTGTCATGACGCGGTCGACGCTGGTGTGTGGCGGGAGCTCGTGCGCTGCGATCCTCGTGGAGCGCGGCCTTTGCGCCAACCTGTCCAGCGTATTCTACATGGACAACTGCGTTGTCATGTCGCGGACGCACGTGATGTACGCTCTTACGTCGGAACTGCGTGTTGGCGGCGGCTCCGTGTTCTCCATACAGAACAGCTCGTGGAGTGCGCCGAGCATTGGCTTCTACGAAGGCGCGTGTGTGTTCAAGGATGTTGTTGTGGATAGCGGCAGCGTGCTGCAGGTTGTGTCCAGCACGTTCCGTCTCGGCTTTGCCATGCTCACGGCAGCCACGTTGACCGTGGTTGGTGGCAGCTGGCTGGTGCACCGCAACAACGAGTTCCACACCGCCTACGTTGTGTACGTGGACAGCGGGAACGGCGTTGCGTTCCGCGATCAGAGTGTGTGGTCGATACTTGAC